GAATGAGGGAGTCAGCAAATCTAAGGATGCTGCAAGTCAGCACCCTTAATTGCTCTAATCATACAGGCCCCGTCAGTGGCAAAGCCTTTAACAATCCATCTTCTAGCACTATCCTGCATTTCCTGCAAAATCAGATTATCTGGGGAGTGGTACAGCACAATAAGACCTTATTAAACAGAGCAGATGATGCATTTGGTGGCAGTGGTGGTTCTGGCTGCATGCCAGAAATAAGTTATAAAGGTTGAAGAGGGGCAGGAGAATGTATTGCATTGAAATAAGGCTTACTTTATTAAGGTAGTTTTCAAAACCACTCAGCATGGGTGACAGCTTGAAAAGTTAAACCAGCAATTACCAGTACTGAAAATCCTGAAGTCCCATTCTATATGCATTACCCAAAAGTGGATACCTGATTCTTTATTTAGTCAAAAAAGAAAAAACAAACAATAGCAAAGTAAAAAGCTAAAAAGTCCTCAAATCAGCCCTGCTGTCCTTAGTTATCAATAAAGGTAGTAAGCTGCAGGTCTTTCAAGAAGAGCCACATGCTCGTACAGGACCAAAATCAGCACTAAGAACCAAGAAAGTTTAAATTAGTAGTAGCTTGCACCTCTTTTCTTGATCCCTCCCTGAATATACTAAACAATTTAGGCTTCTTCAGTCATATATACTTATATACTGGTTCCAACAGCCTACATTTTCTAGTAAGAGTTTAAGTCTGTACAGATGCCTAAGTCTGTGTACAGAAATACTTTTATTTCAGCATATTTGAAAACAGTATAGGTTCACCCTTTATTTATCAGGGCTAAATCTTCCACTGATTTGGGCAGGGCTAGGATGGTTTTCAGAAAAAAAAAGTCTGATTTGAGTCTTTTTGAAAGGGGACTAGGTCACTTTTTAAACATTTCATATTCAAACTTTTTGTTTGTCCAGACCCTCAGATCCTAAGATCATGCAACTCATATGCTGAAAAGGCAGAAGAGATGGATGTAGGAGGAAAAGAGTATAAAACACTAGAGAGAGAAGGTTATTCCTTAAGTTTATTTTGCACTCATTTCTGTCACATCAGCATAAATTTGCCTCGGTCTAAACTCCTTCATTCTTAATTTCTCTTAAATTCAGACTCACTTACCTATTTACATTAATTTGCATCCACTTAGTGATCCATAACTTATACCTGGATATGCCATCTTTAAATTTGGTACAGAGTTAGAAAATTTAAGATTAGCTCCTAAACTGTAGACTTGAAAAGAAATAACAACACTTTTAAACAATTTTGATGGCTGAATTTTCTGCCTGTCCTAATGCACATGTGCAAGTTATTTACTTTATGATATAAAGTGGAACTTGAGGTACACAGTAGGCATTTGCATAGCCAAAGCTCAAGTGAATTACAATAAAATTACTTTTGATTTTCTGACCCTCTTGGCTATGGACTGCATTTTACCAACCTCCTGCTTATCTATTTCTGCTCATCAATTCAAAGCCCAATTCAGGACTCTCGGATGTAATCTAAAACAGAGCCCTTGAACCAGATGCCAACTACAGACAGATTACTGAGGTATTAATTTATCCCAAAGTAGAATTTAGGTAAATATTTATAAGAATAGGTTAGTAATGAAAAATCTGTGTTAAATTCTAACTCTATATTTAAATAAAAGCAACAAGAGAAATTCAATCCATTCTTTTAAGTTTAAGCAGTTGTTCATTAATGGCATAATCCAGCTTCTACTGAAGTTAACAAACTGACTCTAGTGACTTCTCAATGTAATATGAATGCAGGTTCTAAGATATCACCAAAGCATTGGGAATGAGTATTATTACCAGACTGACATTAAAATAAATACTACTAACGATAAAAAGTAAATACTAGTAATGATAAACAGCTCTACTAAATATGGATTATAAAAATGACTTTTATCATATGAGCTATCAAGTTACAGGTTGTATTGATACTGGATACTATTCTTCATTTCTCCTGGCTTTTAACTGCTTTGAAAACAAAATAGTTAGGGAGGTAATGCATTCACACCTACCTCTGCACTTGCAGATAAGACAACCATGATTGTTCTGCTGGAAGCCCATTGGACAGATCTTACCACAAGGTAGTTCTGGGCATTTCTTACAGCGACAGATTTCACAGCCATGCTTGTTCTTCCTAGATGACCGAAATAATTTGTCAAAGTCAGCAAATCACTTACATGTTTGATAAAAATGCCTAAGATCTTCAAAGTGAATGCCTCCCCTGGAGTGACTGAACTGGTAACGAATGTCACCTTAACTGTAATTCTTGTATTCAGGGGTGATAGAAGTAAAAAGATCTCCATTCCTGGCCTGTGCTTCCCCCATGTGACTGGCAGAAACTGTATTTAACATTTCAAGTACTTAAGCCGGCTTGGTATATGTCTATGTACTGATGAATCAGCCTAGTTTTCACAATCAAGTTTTTTCAAGTGAAAGAGTAGAAGAGAAGAAATAAAAATAAATCCCTAAATCTGTGAGGAACATTGGGATCTATTGTAATTAGTATCTTTTGAGAACAAAAATTACAGTTAATTTTTTTTTCATGGTAATTTACAGTAGAACTCTACTCTAATCAACTAAAACACTCCAGGGGTCCAGATGAGTAAAAAGAACATTCATTTAAAAAACAGAACGAGGAATGAAATATCCAAGTGCAAAAAGCAGGGAAAGTGTAGCAATATATTTTTTATGAGCAGAGGCAGGCTACCTCTCAGCAGATACCTAAGATGGAAAATTAAACATGGAAACATTTGTCACCTTTCAGATAAATCTATGTAGCCGGGTGCCACCATATCAGAATGAACCTCTCTACCATCTAAGATACGTTGTTTGTATGGATTTTGTTAAATTGAATGTTCACACACCTTTTTAGGTAGACAAATAATGGCAAAATCTGCATTCATACTCCTTGTTCCCTCTAGAATATCAGGGAGTGGAGGATTATTTCTCAGCCACACAGATAGAATAATTTTCCTCTCATTCTCAACATACGGGAAAAAGTAGTGTCAAGAAGTTCAAGGAAAAAAGAACCATAAACTATACATTAATCCTATGAGCTCCATGACAAGTATTCTCCTCTGCCAAGGCTCCCATGATTCAGGATTTATAATGTGCTGACATGAATGCAGAGGAGTGGGAGACTGCAGCAGGCACCTCACAGGATATTACATAGGAAGCTGGACTCCAGTTCTCTTGAGGTTCTCCCAGGGGTCCTGAAAGATGTACAGTAAAATCCCTGTTATCCGGCACTCTGCAAGCCAGAATACTCTATTCACTGGAATTTTTCTGGACGGGGTTGGGGGGGAAGTTTGCACACAGTGGCTGCTGCCGCCACCCTGCACTGCCACCGCTTCACATGCAGCCGTTGCCACCCACCCCCCTCAGATAGCCAGCATCTGGCATTCCCCACTCATGCCAGATATCAGGGATTTTACTGTACAAGGATAACAAAAACAAAGGGAGACCATGGTAAAAGGAAACCAAGGCAGGGAAGGATGTGCAGAGCAATTGGAAGACTTGAGGTAGAGCAAACTATAAGGGTATTTTACCGGGGACAAACAGCAATGGCACATAGTTGTGGCATGTGGCAAGTTGCCCTGGGTGGGGTGGGGGAGATGGGGTCCTGGGCGCCTCCCAGGGCTCTGGTGGCAGTGATTTGGCCAGCAGCTGGAGTGCAGCTCCAACCAGCCAGGCTTCAGTTTTGGGCAGCACATGCTGCCACCATGTGCAGCACCCCGTTTTTTCGCCACCAGGATCTCCTTGTGTCAAAATCCTCCACTGCACAGTAATGCCTGCATGTGTCATGTGCAGTGTGCAGTGCTGCAGACAGGTCTGCAGTGCTGCATACTGCACATATACACTCATCTGGATGCACCCTAAGGGTGGAGAATAGAGGTAAATTTTGGCTGCCAAAAATGTACCAATGGGGAACAGAGAAAAAGCCATGTCTATATCCACTAGGCATTCATTTCTCCGTGAATATCCCTTTTTCTTTGTGTAGCATTCTTTCCCCAATCCTTCCTATCAAATGCAATCCTTTCCATTCTAGAAACAATGTACCTCCATCCTCTTAGTCCTATCAAGCACAAACCTTTCACTGTCAATACAAATTGACATTGAAAAATGTTTCAAACTACTTCACTTTTGCATTCATACACCACCCTTTGGATTTCTAGGCTCTGCCAACTCAAGCAGTCTGAGGGTGATATTAGTTACGCTTAGACCAGGGGTGGGCAGTGTTTTTCGGTAGAGTGCCAAAAACACCAACAACATGAACTTGTAAGATGTCGGTGTGCCAGAGATGGACGGTGGAGGAGCTGCAGTAGGCCCGATCCTTGTTGTGGCTGTGCAACCACAGCCCCTTCCCCATGCCAGTTCAGGCGACGGTTAACTCTGGCCATGCTACCTAACTTGTATTAGGGTAACTTCAGCTCCACGGAGATAAAATGAGCAATTTACAGTCTTTCAGCATTCCAAGATATAACTCTCCCACCCTGTTTCCTACCCCAAAGCAAAAAGTATCCTGGCTCTTAGCCATGTCTCTGCTTGCCAGCTCTCTAGTGGCAAGTTAGAGCTGTGCAAACAAGAAAGGGTATTAATCGTTAATGTGCGACTGCTCACAGCATCTTCTAACTTTACCACTGCTTAACAGTCCACAGATTTAGTATGGTCTAAGTGTAATGTGCAACTTCACCCTCATGATTCAAGGAGTTAGTGAAAAATAATTTTATTTATATTCTATGTCCACACTTTCAAGTACCAATGTTTTAAAATCTCTTTTAATATCTGATTTTTAAAATAAAATCTGAGTTTACATGTTGACAGCTCTTTGCGTTTTTCCCATTTTATTGTCCTAAACATATTTTGTACTTGCTTGTTTGGTTGCCTAGTTGACAGCAGAATTTCTGATTTTTCCCAGGGATTTTTTCTTTAAAGAACTTTAACGCTCATATTTACTAGGATGCTCATATCTACTGAAAACTACAGGTGTAGGAGAATTTCACAGGTGTAGGCTTTTATACTTTACAATTTTGGCCTGCATAAATCAATTGAACTGAAGATCTAATGACTTTTTATTTTAACACTAAAGCAAGCTTAGAAGAAACAGTAATTTTATACCAGTTGCTACAATTTTAGTCACTGCTACTGCATCCACATGCTTAAGTTTAAGTGTGACTCATCCCATTGGAATGAATCAAGCAGTTACCAAGAAAACTTTACACAGGATATGGACAAATGGCATTTGTAGATGCTTCAAAGGGCAAGGAGATGTACTAATAAAAAGCTCCTGAGCATCAAGTGCATCAGTGTCCCTGTGCTGAAAAAATGGCAGTGCGGTGCTTTGAACTAAAGCTTGTTCAACAAGCTTTAGTTCAAAGCACCCTGTCACCATTTTCAGTATAGAGATGCTGATACATGTGATGCTGGAGCACATTAATTTCTGTACTCCAGCACTGGATTTACAGCATGTCGGAGCAGCCTCCGTGCATGTGTGTAAGTACTTTAAGAGACAGATGGTGTAAACCTTGATCCTCTTGGGAAATTCAGAATGCTCATACAGATTTAATGGCCTTGTGAGGCAGATCTCTCTCCTCAGTGACTTTTTGGGGCAGTTTTGTTTTTCCTTTTTGGGGGAAAACAGAATTTGGATTTTAGCCACCAAAGCCTGTTGAACACCTTGCATTCATTACTGTTTTTCAAGTTAACTTATTCGCATGAAAAAATACATAAAAACCAATGGGAAATGCTAAAATATATTGCCAAATTAAGTACATCTCTTTTACATTACTATTTAATACCTCATATTTCTATTTAATATTCTAAGTACTGGAAATTGAAATCCCTTTCCCTATAGACTATATAAGTTTAATGGGAGCTGTTTTAATAGAAATAGATGTACCTCAGCTATTTTGTCATCTAAGTTTCAATAAAAAATTCCACAGATGTCTTACCTGGTGCTTCAAGTTATTTGCCAAATTCTTTTTGAGGCAGTTCCTAGCATTAGATTTGCCAATGTGAATTCTTGTGTAAACCTGATTTGGTTTTCTCTCTGCAAAACTCATGAACATTCCTTTACTTTAAGAATCTCAGAGTCTGAAAATATCATTTTCCATACAACTCTTCCAATTTAATATTTACCCTTTTATTCTGAATGTTTAATTTCCCCAGATAAGCTTCATTTGGTTTCCTTGGACTTAATACTGAAATGCTTATCAACCCATTTACCTGTATGATTAGCGGCCTGGAGAATAGACCCTATGAGGAGAGGATCTGGGAACTGGGTTTGTTCAGTCTGAGCAAGAGAGGACTGAGAGGTGGCTTGACAGCTGGCTACAAGTATGTCAAGGGTGAACACCAATATCTAGGGGAGCAACTCTTCAGAAAGGCACGCCCTGGGAGGATGAGGACCAACGGACACAAGCTAATTGAGGAAAAATGTAGGTTGGACATAAGGAAAAACTTATTTTCCATAAGGGTATCTAGAATTTTGAACATGTTCCCAGCAGAGGTGGTGCAGTTATCATCCTTGGAGGTACGGAAGAGGAGGCGGGACAAGCACCTCCTTGAGTTCATCTGAGCCCAATAACCTCCTGCCCATGGCAAGGTATTGGACTTGATGATCTTACAGATCCCTTCTGGTCCTTTGATTCAGGGATTCTATACCATTTCTCAAGAAAGCGTTATTAATGGATTTACTAATTTTAAGTGTACTTCTACTCTGAAGAGTGGCTATATTCTTGCTAAAGATACCTGTGCATATTTGGAGCCATCTTTAACTTTAGAAACAAATATTTGTTTTATTGACTTATATAAGACAACACTTTTAAGACAGTATAGCATAGATTACATGCCTTCTTGGGCTTCATTAAATTACTGTTTCCTAAGGTTCTAGACAGACAACCACTTTTCAAACAAAAGGGTATACAACAAGATATACTTATCAGAGTGGAACCATGGTTTCAAATATTTTGGTATTTTTAAAAGGCATGTAGGTCCCTAAATAGTTTTCATGAATAGGTTTTATATTGTAGCCTGAAGTCATTAACTTTCAGTCATGCTTAAATAAAAAAATTATCTGTGCTACATATAAATAAATGTGATATAATCACAAGATTGATATAATTAACTTAACAT